CCGGAGCATCCCGACATAGCAAGTCCCAGTCCAAAAAACAAAAACTCTGCCAACCCCAGATCATAGGTGCATGCTGCGCCCCTGTCTGGCCCCCCACCCTGTCCCCTCTCTGTGGCTCAACTCTTCTTTTCTTCCTGTTCAAAAAGGCGAAGCTCTCCCTGGCTCTGGCTTTTACACGCGCTGTTCCCTCTGTCTCCAACGCTGTTCCTGCTCCGGCTTTGTGTGGTCTCGCTGCCTCAGGTTCCAGTTGAAAGATTTCTTCTCAGAGAAGCCTCACGCCACCTGAACAAGAACCCGTCTCTAGGCCTTCCTGTGGTCGCGCATGCCAGTTGACACTGCCATGCAGTAGGCTGAGGCCACGTGTGAGCCCGGGTTTGATTCCCAGCCTACCCTGAAAGCCAGGTGTGCTGGCACATGGCATGACCCCAGCTACTTGGGAGGCTGAGGCCGGAGCATCCCGACATAGCAAGTCCCAGTCCAAAAAAAAAAAGAGCCTCTGCCTCCCAGCCACACTTAGCACAATTCGGTATTACTAACTTGTGGGTTCCTTGGTGTTGGCTTGTGAGCCCTGTGAGGACAGCAGGGCAGGGCACACAGGAGGTGCTCAGTTACCTTCCGTCACATGGCTGGGCGTGAGAGGAGCAGGACAGCCTGGGAGCTGGCGTGAGAAGTCCCGGCCAGCCCTGCCCTGAGCCCTCAGGCAGGCCCTGGCCTCTGCAGACCTTAGAAGTCAGTGTGTCTGGCTGAGGGTGAGATGTATGACCTCCAGGCCCGCTGTGCTGGTGGTCTTGGCGTCATCTGTGAGTAGCAGACGGACACACCAGAAGGTCCTGGGGGCACCGAGCTGGAGCTGGTAAGGGGTCTAGGGAGGGACTACGTGGGCAAAGTCCTGGAGCCCTTGTCCTCCTACCATCCTGGCAGGCCTCGGTGGCTATAGCCGACCAATCAGAGGAGTCCTAGGACTCTAGGAAGGGAATGTGGCCCGAGACCCCCACAGTCCTGTCCACGTAGAGAGCCACCATGCCGAGTGTCCGGGAGGAGGGGTAGAGAGTGTCTGGTTCCCAGCTGCAGGCAGAAGGCTCTACAGGCCCTGCTCTGGGTGAACATGGGCAGGAGGACACAGGGCTGGGGTCGGCAGTTGTACATTCCAGGCCCCTCACCCCCTGTGAACCTCAGGCGAGTCCCTCCCCCCGGCCTCAGTTTCCACGCCTGCACAGCAGATGTGTGAGGTCTTCCTGGCCCTGACATCCAAACGACTGTGCTGACGCCGGGACATGTGTGCTTCCTCCTCGCTCCTCCCCCAACCCTCGGCTGGGCGCCTAGGGGGTGGGGGACAGCAACGGGAGCGTGGGAGAGACAGATGTGGTGGCCGCTGGCCCTGCCTGAGCGAGTGCTGAGCAGGCCTCCTGGGAATTCTCCCACTCAGCCTCCTTCCGGCCCTCGCCCCCTGCCCCCTGCGAGCTGCTGCGAGCTGCTGCTTCCGGCTCTGACAGGCGTGGGTGGGGGTCTTGAGAGGGGGGAGTCTGTCCGGCCCAGCTCCCTCCTTCAGGGGAAAGCATGGGTCCAGGCAAAGGCTCCATCCCAGTCCCAGTCTGTGGCTTGGCATGAGTCGCTTTCCCTCCCTTGGCCTTGGCTATCTGGACTGCAAAATGAGTAGACTGGGTGCGCTTCCCCCAGCCCCAACGGTGGGCTTCCACGATGGCAGCTCTGGTGACCCTGAGGACCAGCCAGGCACGCTAGGACTTGCGCTAAGCTCCTGGGTGCTTCGCGGCTTATTCGGACCTCCTCTGTCCCCACTTGGCAGTGGAAGCTATCGGAGAGCTCAGATAACATAATCGCCCTGGGGCGCCGCCAGACCGTGGTGCAACTGGGGGGAACCGCCATGGCAGAGCTCAGGCTCTTCGCCCGGAGTAAGCCACTGTGCTGTGGGGAGGGGAAGTGCTGACCCCCAAGTGCCAGAGCCCCTCTCTCTCTACTCCGTTCCAGTCCATCTCAGATGGGGCACCCCACATGCCCTTCTTGGCCTTCCCCGGGACAGGCTTGTCTGAGGCCAGACTAGGCGCCTGCAGTCTGCTCTTGGCTTGTGCTGCCCACAGAGGGGCGGGGGGCCATGCTGACCACTCCTTCAGAGTGCACGGGGAAGCTGAGGCCTGGGAGGAGGACACAGCCTGGGCACACGGTGCTGGCATCTCACCGTCTCAGTACGACACGCCCGGGTGCAGTACTAAGCCCTCCGAGGACCTGCTCCTCTCAGCAGTCCCAGGGATCCGTCCTCGAATTGTCTTCATTTTCCAGAGGAGAAAACCGACGCTCGGGACTTCGACTTCCCCCGGGGCACACAGCTTGATGTGGAGAAGTGGGGTTTGAACCCAGGTCTGTCTCTGGCTCTGGAAGCTGCCCTCCGTGGTGGCACTCCTCCTCCTTTGGCTAGCCGTCGGCAAGTTCCCAGTGGTGCCTTGTGACTGCCACACCTCCTTCTCCATCCCAGCTGAGAGAACAGCCCTGTGCCCACCAAGGGTTAACGGTGGTAGGGGCTAAGTGATTCCAGATGGGCCAGCGGACGGCTGGGCTGGCCGGAAAC